GGAGGTAGACCACATCAGAGAGGCTCTTCAGAATTTCCCTCAGTCCCCTCCAATGACTGTCCAGCTTGGGCAGCTGTCCCTTCTTACAAAGAGGACAGTACCCCTAAACCGGGTCCTTTATCCCCAGTTCCCACGGTACCTTCAGTTCTGGGGGCAGCCCAAATAACAAGTCCACTGGGGTGCGCAACTCCCGCCCAAACATCAGCCAACGTGCACCAAGTGTTGTTGCAGACCACGCCAAAGACCTGCGCCTCAAAACCTGCCTGGTCACAATGCAGCTCCTTTGGCACACGATACAGCAGAAGAACTTCTCTCTCTGTGGTTGTGATGCTCTGATCGGGAACCGCAAACGCCTGACTCTTACCGTTTCTATCAGCTCTGGTAGGTTCGCAGTAGCGCTGCGGACTGGCGGCTTGGTCCTTCCTGGGCAGTGCGCGCATCACAACAATGGAGAAACAGCATGGTGTTCTGGCTGCATCCAGGCCGAGAGAAGTGGCTCCTAGTGTCTTTGCTGGGCCCTGTCACACCGTGCGCCGCATGAGGGACCGTCACTCAAAGGCTCTGGGGCACTAGCAGCTGGAACAGATGGCGGTCGCCATCCAGGTACTGCCAGCACTGGTACAGCACACTGTCCTGCTCCTCCAGTGCCCTCCACTGGTTCTAGAGGGCCTTGATCTCTAGGTCTAGGGCAAAGACCTCTCTCCACTCCAGTCTTCCCCCTTGCAGCCAGCCCCCCCACTCAGGTCAGCACCGGATTGCTGTCTCGCTCCACCCCTCATCTGCTGCCAGTCTCTCAGCGCTTGTGACTTGCGGCGCTACCGCTGTTGCACGCCTCTGGTTGTGCTGCTCAGCGCAGCGGCAGTGAGAGCAGTCATCCAGCTCGCAGGGGTGCAGGGAGGGGGGTGGTCAGCATTGCCATGGAGCTTGCCTGGCTGGTGCTGGACCACGAAGCTGTACCCCTGGAGGGCCTCCACTTAAAACTCCAGTAAGTCGGACTCGTTCCCGGTGAGGGTTGGACTCCGCCAGGGCTGCCCTTTATCACCGATTCTGTTCATAACCTTTATGGACAGAATTTCTAGGCACAGCCAGGGTGTTGAGGGTGTCCGGTTTGGTGACCTCAGGATTAGGTCTCTGCTTATTGCAGATGATGTGGTTCTGTTGGCCTCATCAGACCGTGACCTTCGTCTCTCACTGGAACAGTTCGCAGCCGGGTGTGAAGCGGCTGGAATGAAAATCAGCACCTCCAAATCCGAGACCATGGTCCTCAGCCGGAAAAGGGTGGAGTGCTCTCTCCAGGTCGGGGAGGAGGTCCTTCTCCAAGTGGAGGAGTGAGGGAAGGATGGAATGGGAGATCGACAGGTGGATCGGTGCGGCGTCAGCAGTGATGCGGGCGCTGCATCGGTCTGTCGTGGTGAAGAAGGAGCTGAGCCAAAAGGCAAAGCTCTCGATTTACCAGTCGATCTACGTTCCTACCCTCACCTATGGTCACGAGCTATGGGTAGTGACCGAAAGAACGAGATTGCGAGTGCAAGCGGCCGAAATGAGTTTCCTCCACAGGGTGGCTGGGCTCTCCCTTAGAGATAGGGTGAGGAGCTCGGTCATTCGGGAGGGACTCAGAGTAGAGCCGCTGCTCCTCCACATCGAGAGGAACCAGATGAGGTGGCTCTGGCATCTGATTAGGATGCCTCCTGGATGCTTCCCTGGTGAGGTGTTCCGGGCATGTCCCACTGGGAGGAGGCCCCGGGGAAGACCCAGGACACGCTGGAGGGACTATGTCTCTCGGCTGGCCTGGGAACGCCTCGGGATCCCCCCAGAGGAGCTGGAGGAAGTGGCCGGGGAGAGGGAAGTCTGGGTTTCCCTGCTGAGACTGCTGCCCCCGCAACCCGACCTCGGATAAGTGGAAGTTAATGGATGGATGGATGGATGGATGGATGGATGGATGGAACTCAATGCTTCAATATACCAAGACATTTTGGAGGGTTCTATGCTTCCAACTTTGTGGGAGCAGGTTGAGGAAGCCTCTTTCCTATTTCAGCGTGACTGTGCCTCAGTGCACAAAGCCAGGGCCATAAAGACATGGTTGAGTTTGATGTGGAAGAACTTGACTGGCCTTCACCGACCCTTGATCTCAACCCCATCAAACACCTTTGGGATGAACTAGAATGGAGATTGTGAGCCAGGACACAATCTATCAGTACCTGACCTCTAAAGTACTCTTCTGGATGAATGGGCAAAAAACCCCACAGACACACTCCATAAACTTGTGGAAAGCCTTCCCAGAAGTTTTGTAGTTGTTATAGCTGCAAACTGATGCCTATGCATTCAGAATCTGATGTCATACAAGTTTCTGTAGGTGTAATAGCCAGGTGTCCCAATACTTTTCTCCATATAGTGTATTTGCTTATACAAAAAATCAAATGTAATCATGGAAGTGAATGACCTGCAGGGATAGAGGAGACGGTCCAGGCCATATATAAAGTTTATAAAATTTAAAAATTTTATATATAAAATTTAAAGAATTCAAACCATGTGGGAGCTGGAAGTAAGTCGATATGGTTGCATCAGTTATATCTATGTATGTTTTATCAACAAAGAAAAATACATTTTATATGTTTAATGGGATAAAAAAAGAAAATGAGACATTTAATATAATACTATAACCATATTCTTTTGTATATAAATGCAGTTTTTCTCCATGTTGACCGTAGGCTTTTGCATTAATTAACTCAGGGGTAAACGTGGGTGCTAGTCCATTTAATTCTTGCCATCTTACGAACATATTTAGCATATTTTCATAAAGTATACTTACCTGATTTGTAGAAGTGAGTGTTTCTCCTCATGCTACAAGAAAAACAACGACCACAGCACACTGGATGCCTCTTTGTTGGTAAACTTCTTATTCAAATCTTAATTTAACAGTACTCAAAACCATTTTGCCAGTTTACTGGGGAAATCCTCTACATGACAACATTGAAATGTTGTTGAGAGTTGTGTTAATTAGTTGCCCCGCTAGTCAGGAAGAAAGTTCTTATATATTATTAATGGGCCTTCTTTCTTTGTAGTCGTTTTGCAGTTTGTCATTTTAATTGGAAATAAATAAATGCGTTTTCATTCTGCATCATCCTAAGCAGCTGAATTTTTTTGTTTAACATGACACTTTCCTTTTTCTGCTTTACATAACATTGAGACAGGTGGTTTCTGTCAGCAGTGATTTCTCTGCCTTCGACAAAAATATTCATTTTCACCAGAAGGGGGAGACGGACGCTTATTTAAATTGAAAAATACATTTTCCACTAGAATCCATTCCAGTTGCATACATATATAAATATGTAGGGGAAACACCGTACTTCAGGTTCTTCAGTCATTTTGCTGTGTAGCATCTCATTGGGTGTACTAGTAACAACTCAGTTAAAATAATAAAATAATTACATTTAATTTATTTCATCCATTTGGGTACCATCCTTTCATACTATAACGGCCAATCAGCATCAAGTTTATTTCCAGTGCCACAGAAATTCCATTTCTTTATTATGGATTAGGGTTTCCTAGCTCTTATAACCATTAAAATAGTGGCTATGTGACAGCAGGGGGATCCTGCACCATTGTGTTCTTAATTGCCATAATCAATCCACTGATGTCTCCAGATTTGTGAGCGCAGGAACATCAGCGGGGTGACTTACGATGGCGGGGCCAGGCCGGGGTGGTGGTCTGGCCCTCACAGCTCTGCGCTCCTACAGAAGATTGATGAATTGACTGCGGCACCGCTGCCGGTGTGTCTGCGTCCGCGCCGAGGGAGCCCCGGTTACGGCAGGGAATCCCAGCTATGGCACCCGTAGCGGCTCTGCTATTGTGGCTGACCAGCAGGGGGCCTCGGGGGCTGGCGGCTCTGGGAGCGACTCTGACCCACATACTGCTGTCAGGCCCATGGAGACACATTGTGGTGGGGGGGGGGGACGGTTGTTAGAGAGTTTAGTAAATTACCCCCTTAACTGAAATGACTCTAGCTCTACCCACACACCATGCTCCACTTTCCAGGGCCTTCTGACATGAGTCCATTTTTTTCAACACTCTTTCACGCTTAGAAAGCCAGGCGTGCTCAGGCTGGTTCCCAGTGTCTGAGGGCGGGGGCCTTTTGACATGGGACCCGAACCAATTCCAACTGTAATGGAATGGACCTCGAGAGGTGGTCCCAGGCCGAGCAGAGCAGTCGCCGCATGACGTGAAGCGCAGCG